CACACACACACTCACACACACATGCACACACACCTTGACCATCAATAATTTATTTATAGAGGCACCAGGTACTTTTTTATCCAACACACACACACACACACACATACACACACACACACAAACACACACACACACACCTGAGCCACATTAAATTCCTCCATACTTTCATATCTTGTCATTTATTATGTATATTTTTTTCAGTCTTTCATTTACTCATGCTTTCATTCCCTGACTCACTCTCATTCTTTTTCTGCCACACAGATTGTGGCCCATTTTGTTCTTCAATTTCAACTAAACTTCCTTTTTCCACCCTTGCCATGTTTCATTTTTTTTCATTTCTTCACTCACTCACTGATCCATCCACACTTTCTCGCCTTCCTCAGGTGCCAGCCCACCCCTCAACTCGACGGACGACAGAACAATGCGGACTCGTAATCGAGTACGGAAAAAGTTGCAGCAGCGGCGAGTGAACAGCAATGACAACTACTACCCCAATCCTCCACGTTCCCTGGGAGGTCGCAGGAATAGGGGAATGGGAGGTGGTAAGTCTCCTCTCCAATTTCTGATTCATTCAATGTTTTAAAAATTGAAACAGATGTGGTACATGATGATTTTATGAAATACAGTTTAATGGTTCTATAGAAAACAGTCCCATTTTTGTTGTTGCTTTTGTTGTTTTCCTGATTAATTGGTCCGTCAATGCTCTGAACTTTAATCTTCAATCCACCACCATAGATAGATTATTATTGTTATCGTTATTATTATCATTATCATTTTTATCGTTATTATTACTATTGTTATTATTATTATTATTATTACTATTATTATTATTATTATTATTAATTATTAATGTTATTATTTTAAATAGGTGGATTTATGTCTGGTTTACAGATAAAAAGCAATATGCTCTCAAAAGTTGTTTTAGTTGTTGACTGAGAACTGAGAATGTGTTTGTTTTATTTATAGTTACTGTGTTGTTTATGAAAAGGGTGTGTTTTTACCCTCCCATTGATGTTTAATGCTCAAAGCAAGTAAAGTTTTGTGGTTTCCAAATTGTTGACAATGCATGGAGAACGTATAGATTTTATTGACTGGAAAGAGTGCACCTCTCCCTTTCCCTCAGTGAATGGTGATATCGGGATGCACGGGGACCCAGGGCTGACCCATGGTCAGTGCATCACGCCAGAGAATGGGGCTATGGACCTGGAAGAGGAGAACTCACTCATTTTGCAGTGTCTGTCCAGCATGCCCTCTCCCAAAGTGAGTCATTTTACAAGAATGCCGTTTTTACATTTTTTCACTGTTATTATTAACGTTATGGACAATTCTGTGAAAAATGAATTTTCATTTTTAACAATCATCCAGTCGTTTGGGGGGGGGGGGGGGGATTTCTGTTACCGAGAAGTTGCCTTTAATAATTAAAAAAAAAAGAATGGCTTTATCTCTGCAAGAATTTTTCTTTCCCTTGTTACTTTTGTTACATGTTCACTTTTCATTGAATGATCATCAGTTGAACAGTTATTATTTTGAGAACTTGTTTTTAGGTTAACCCCTTATAACTATTCAATTAAGTTCACTTTCTTTTTGTTTGCATATGCAACTTTGTAAATTTCAAAAACTGTTTTCACAAAGTCCCCTAGTGGCACCCCAGTTTTTAGCGGTGTGAAAACTTGAAGTGATACCAGAAGTAAAGAATTTTGAATGGTACAAGTGACTTACAAGCACACACACACACACACACACACACACACACACACACATACATTCAAAATAAGAGAACATAGGACAATTATGAAATGCAAAAAAAAAAATCCCCCAAAAACCCAAAGTTTGTTTTGTTTTTAATGTTTTCTTGATAACCTAGTCTGTTATTAATTTGGAACTTCATGATTTCTGTTGCCCAGGTGACTGATGTTGAGGCCCGCAGTGCGTTGATTCAGTTGTCTCCCCCTGACTGTGATTCTATCGACCTGGAGCTGTATCCATCAGACTTCAAGTACGAGCTCCTCCTCTCTGACAAAGGCCGGGACGCCAAATACAAGACTGTCTTCTGGTGGGTCTCACTCTTTTGTTCTTATTGGATTTGCCTTTTTTGAATGGCACCAGTATCTGTTGTGTAGTGGCAAAGATAGTACACAACAAGATGGTCCACTCAGCCAAAAAAGTGTCCGCCGGAAGTCCGCTCTTTGCTTCAGATGGCGCTGCAGTCTGTTTGGAAGCTCTGTTTCGTTTTTTCCAGAAGAAGAATAGGAATAGCACCTCCTTGCGTGTGCAGATCGACTGCTGTTCATCAGCAGTTCGGGTTTGTTCAGTACAGAGTTTTATTTTTTAAAAATTTTAATGACCTCTCGCCTTTCATTCTAAAGTCAAATTAAACGAAGAAAACAATCACCCCTTCCTCCGGAAAAGGTTTTTTGTCAGCGTAACCATTTTAAAAAAGCGTTCTTCCGAAATTTATTCCAAAACTTGCTAGTTTCACTTTGATTTTTTTAACACAAGTAAGGTAACTCTGTTCGCATAGGGTGCGCATTTGTGAAGAAGGCGCCACCGAATTTTGAAGACACTTTTTTAATTGGTTCGAAGAGAGAAGTGGTCCCCCTTGTTATGTAGACTCTTTGGTAGTGGTTAGATGCTTCGCTGTTGCACGCAGGAGACCCAAGTTTGATTGCAGAGTGGGGAGAATTTTTATTGAGTGTCTTAGTCTTTCTTCTAGGCTTAGCTGGAAACAATAGAATCAGAAGCAATATTTTATCTCACAAAATGCCTTTGAGTGTCAGTTTTAGTCTCACTTTCGAGATTTTGGTATTTCAATTTATGTTATCCAAATTCTTCTGTTTTGTTGCGTGTAACAATTATTCGGAATTACTTTATTTGACTGGCGGCTTGAATATTCTGCTTGTTCAGGGGATAAAATAGAAAACAGCCAACTGAACCTAGAATACCATGAAAGCAAAATGCCAAAAGCTGTAGGATCTAAAGAAGAAAATGTGGAAAAGGCGACTGCAACAAAGATAGGGAGTGGAGCTGGAGTGAAGAGAAAGTGGGTCAAGTCTATCTATTGTAGGTAAACAGTTTTGAGGTCACCTGATTAGGGTCCCCTGTGGGACAGCTGGCAGGCTTCAGGTTATGTGTTACAGCTGTCCTGAATAAGTACATTAGTGGCTCCTGGGGGAAGGGATATGATGAGGCTGGGTTTTTTTTCCTGTGTGGTCTTTGGGATAGTGGGATCATGAGGGTGGGTTGGGTTTTTGTTGTTGTTGTTGTTGTTGTTGTTGTTGTTGTTGTTGTTGTTGTTTATTTTTTAATTTTTTTTTTAGGGGGATAGATAGATCATGAGAGTATTTTTCTTTTTCAGTTTGGTCTTTGGAATAGATCATGGGGATGTTTTTTTGTGTCAGTTTGGTCTATGGGATAGGTGAGACATGAGGGTATACATTTTTCTGTTTGATCATTGGGATAGTGAGATAATAAGGGTGTTTTTTTTTTTTTTTTTTTCTGTGGTCTTTTGGTAAGGGAATCATGGTGGTGGTCTGATGTTACGTTTCATACTACACTTAACGCTAGAAAAGGGTCTACTTTGAGAAAGAGGTTGGAGTGTGTGTGTGTGTAAAGAGTAAGTCAATGTGTGTCATCACTGTTAGGTATGAGTTAATTAACATTTCAACAACTGACACCGTCATATCTTGGAAATCATTTGACTACCTGCCCTGGCTTTTGGTGATCATATGCACAGATTAGGAATACATGCATGGACAAACAAAGATATTTTCATTTTATTGACATTTATTTTTGGCCTCGCTCATGAGGCCCCGGCCTTTGGTAATGGCTGAAAAATATATATGTGTGTGTGTGTGT